TGCCCGCTACTAGAGCTGCTAATGCCCTGGCACTGACGGGGTCAGCAAGTCACAGACAGGAGCACGTGCCCTCCTCTCCTGCCTGCCGGGCTCCTATGAGCCCTGATGGCAGCCGTTGCCAGGCATCCAGCTGGACGAGGTGGGGTCTACAAAGATCAGGGCCAGCACAGCCAGGGGGAAGGGGAAGTCGAGGGAGAGAAATGGCATTTCCAGCCTGCAAGGAGAGGCCGCCACTGTGGAGAGGAGGCCCTGAGAATCTGCCCTGCTCAGACGGCCTCGGACACGTTCCTCTGTGCAGGGATAAACTTTAGAAGAGCCGGATGGGCCCGTGGACTTGTGGTTAAAGGAACTGGATCCCACATGGCTGATAGCTGTTCCAGTCCTGGCCTAGCAGATTGAGAAGGCTGCAGAAATGGAGAAGAGATTGCAGCATGACCATGCCCCATTGGGGGTGCTCTCTCATGAGCATGCAGACCTTCCAGCAACGAGAAGGAAAAGAAGAAAAAGAGAAGAAGAAAAGGGAGCAGGAAGAGGAAAGGGAAAGAACCCTCTACGATACTGTAAGTCCCTTCAAGGCAGAGGCAGCCTGCTAGCTGTCCACACTATCATTTAATGTTTATGAAGTCAGGAATGGATTAAACGAGACGTCTGACATAATGCGATGGCTATTTTTTTCTGAATTCCCTCAGTAATCTCAAATTCAAGTTTCAACTGTTGAGTTCAAAATCAAACAAAAATGGCCTCGAAATTAAGCAACTATAGCTGAAATATTATTGGCCCATGTCTGATAAGACTGTAATTTTAGTAATTCTTCTGCTTAGGTACTTGCGAGAACCAGTGTGTGTGTGTGTGTGTGTGTGTGTGTGTGTGTGAGCATGTGTGTACTCTTGTACGAATCTCAATCCGATTCCATAAATATTAACTAGGTGCTCACTAACGGCAAATCTCTAAATCAGATGCTACACGGAACTCAAAAGAATTAAGCCCCATCCCTGAAGGGCTCGGAATATTGATCCCTACGTGAGCCATCTGGCACCTATCAGTATTTTTCAAAGGTCTTTGCTTTGATTTATTGAGGTCTCTTGAATTCTATTCTTTTGTGTTTTTAAAGCTATTAGCAATGCACCTCACTTCAGTCTCTTTCATATTCTCTCATGGACAGAATGAAATAGATTTTCTCCTAGAAATAACTCTGTTAGTAGTCGTCTGAAAAGAAAATTAACTCTTTCAGATGTCTAGGCTGCCGTTGCTAATTACCTACAGAGAGACTCTGGGGGCCAGCAGGTGGCGTGATGATTAAAGCAGCTAGATTCCCACATGGTTCGAGTCCCAGACCCGGTGGCTTGAAGTCATGTGAAGCACACATGCATATATACCCCAGATCCCAAGAGGAGCATGAAGGAGAGGGGATAGCAGCATGGTCTTCCATGGGGGAAGATTTCTCACTTCCTGCTCTCTGTATCTTTCTGTCTCTCTCCTCTCTGGTGAGCACGTGTACCTAGGAAAAACCCTATAAAATAAAAGAAGGAGAAGGAGAGACAACGTTGCACCTGAAAGACAGCATCTAATGCACGCAGTTATTTCCTTCCTTGTTATTTCAAGGAGGGACGTGAGGTCACCAGCTGAGAAGAGAAGGTTCGAAGGTGCTGGTTCACTAATGAGAGCAGGATGAGGGTCGGGTGTGAGCCAGGGGACCCTCGTTCCCAACATGCCTGGCCATCAGGCTCCGTAGGTAACCCATGCACGGACTCCATCCTGGAAGGGCTATCGGGAGGTACTTGCGAGAACCAGTGTGTGTGTGTGTGTGTGTGTGTGTGTGTGTGTGAGCATGTCGAAGGCTGCTGCGATGAGGGTGTCAAAGGTGGTCCTCCTTAGCCCACCTCCGGAGGTACTGAGAGACTTGGCCTGGCCAGCGCCTCCCTCCCCGTGGAGAAGCGGTCCTTTGAACGTTAACACTTTCTCCTCCTGATGTTTTAACACGTTTGCAAGGCATATGAACACGTTGGTCAATATTTATGTTTTGTTTACTTATTTATTCTGTGAAGGAGAAAGAGAGAGGCATACCCAACGGGATCCTCACACCCCCAACCTGCCACACTTTCAGCCCTCCCAGTTGTGGGCACACCCCGGGTACCCAGTGTGTTCAGGGGAGGTGTCCGGACCTTTCCCACATGGATCTGGTTGTCTCTACTGAGCCAACACCTGGCCCCTGTGGGTTTCAATGAACCCTAGCATAGGATTTTAGGGGAGAATGCCCACGGTGTTCTTTGGATATTTCATTATGACATACCCAGGGTCTTCTCCACTTACCAAAGATCCTGCCTGATACATTTCAAGTTCACCTGAAAGACTTCTGGAAAGACTTCTGAACATTGTAGCATAGGCTTGTGGGTGGGTCACATGACCCAGGGCCATCGCTCTGCCTTGCAGTCAGGCCCCCACTGAAAGACTCTGTAGACTGCATGCTGGGTGTTCTGCAGAAGCAGGTGAGGAAGTCTGGTTCCATTGAATCCCTTGTGACAGACAGTGGTAACATTTAAATCCCGAGTCTCCAAGCAAATTTCCTTACAGGGACCCCTGTTTCATCACTTGGAGCTCAAAGTCTCCAGCAAGAACCTGGACAGCCACACCCCTCTCGCATTCTCGGGTGCAGGTGTCATGAAAATGCGAACAGCCTCTTCTTCCCCAGTGTGGTCAAAGGATCCTCGAAGCAGCCAGGCAGATGCAGTTACAGTCACTGCCCTCCGTGTGTCAGCTGGTCGAGACAAACATTCCCCATCCGTGCCGATTGCATTTGGCCTGACCACATTTTTATGCATGTTTCAAAGCTGATCCTATTTCCTGCTTTTAACCGAACAAATACATAACAATAAAGAAAATCATTTTGTTAGCAATTGAATTACAAAATGTGTTCTGCTCTCCATTAATAAAACCCCGATCTTGTTCAGCATCTCCAGTAAATAGCCTTTGTATTTTCCCTCTCTTCAATTTGCAGGCTAACAATAGAAAAAACATTAGCTGGGGTTGAGAGCGGCGAAGGGAAAAAAAGAGACAGTTACTGAGCGCCCTCTCGTGGCGGAACGCCTAAAACGTTACTGAAGTGTGGGCCTCTTCTTTCCCGAACTCTCACATTCTAGAAAAATAAGTGTGGGCAGTCTGACCTGCTCTTTTACAGTCTTGGTTCCCTTAAAATCTTGAGTAAAAGTTTTAACAATACGTTTATTCAGTTTATTTTAACTCTGCTGCATAGATCTCAACAATACGGGACCAGGGCAGATCAAGAATAAGAGCAAGAATTGCCCCGAACCGACTTACCCTGCCAGGGAAGGCAGCTGATCAAGAAGGTTTTGTCTGACTCGGTTTGACCTTAATTCCCGAGGAAGCGACCCTTCACTGTGCTCTTCGGAGCTGCTCAACCCATCTCAGCCCTGACCTCGTCCTTTAAAGCTCACAGGCGAGCCCGGGACCAAAGCAAGCCAAAGCCTCCAGCGGGAAACCAGTATTTCGGAGACTCTGGCGTTGAGAGTGGGAGGTTAGGATCACAGATGGACTTTTTTTTTTTTATTTGCTACAGGGCACGTATGCTCCTTGGAAAGGAGAGAGAGAGAGAGAGAGAGAGAACACAGTCCCTAGGTGGGAGGACCACGCTGCAATCCCTGCCCTCCATCTCCCCTCTCGGGATTGTGGGCACACATGCACATGCGCCCAGCATGGTTTTCAAGCATCGGAGTACGGGACTCATCACATACTCGGCCATGTGGGATCCAGCTGCCTGGGCCACCATGCCACCAGCTGACCTCACACATAAGCTTTTTTTTTTTGTTTTTTAAAAGAAAAAAGTGTTTTTTTTTTTTTTTTTTTATTTTTTGCCACCGAGTGCATGCACTCATCTGAGAGACAGAGTGAGACAATGAGAGGGAAAGGGAGAAATCACCGCCCAGGTGGGATGGCCATACCACCCTCCCTTCTTCTCCATTCTCCTCCTGGGATTTTGGGCATGTTCACACAGGCACCCGGCATTAGTTTCAAGCTGCTAGTTCTGGGACTTCAGCCATGCTCGATCATGTGGGAGCCCAGAACCTTAACCACCACGCCTCCTGCTGGCTCCCCCCCACACACACACACACACAAATAAGCCTTTGAACAAAGGTTCGACGCTGCTGTTCAAAGCTGCCCTGTTAGGTGACTAGGGCTACTTCGGAGCGTGGTTACGTCAGGTGGTTATTCTCCAGAGAAGCAACCAACAGAATGCGTATCGGGTGACAGGGAGATTGTTTTAACTAACTGGCTCGCGAGGCCACAGAGCCAACGTGTTCAGGATGAGGGCCCCAAGGAAAACGGGCCTTGGAGCTCACATCTGGAGGCTGTCAGCTGTAGAGGTCCCTCTTCTGTTCCCTTCAGGCCTTCAACCTTGGATGAGGCCCGCCACATCGGGGGTTGAGGACAGCTGCTCTACTGAAAGCCTACTGATGCAGATGTCAGTGTCACACGAGACACCCTCACAGAGACAGTCAGCACAGTGCTCGGTCAAGGATCGAGGCATGGTGGCCCAGGCAAGCTGACACATACGATCAACCGTCCCATCAGGTGAAGAGGGCAGAGAAAAATAGAAAGCATTTGGGAGAATTGGGGGGAAATTTCAAAACCTGGTTATCACCCAGCTGAATAAAGGGTTAGAGGTTCCAAACAAATGTTTACCTCTGACGCTTCGAACACAGGCTCTACTGGGCTCAGTGGCCCACGAGGCACCGTTGCCGTCATGCTAACCCGGACCTGATGCGAAGCCTTCTCTTCTTGGGGCCCTACCCAAACCCAGGAGCTCATTGGAACCCTCTGTAAATAGGCTGGACTAACACACTCAAATGTCAAATATATTTTGCTTCCGAAATGCAAAGAGGTCTCTGTCGTGGTGGCAGGAAGGGCCACAAAGTATCCTCTACCACTGAAGGGATATGTCAACACCCCATGGCACTGGACTCCTAGAAGTTTTACTAAGGTGAGGCCCCTGGATTTGGGTCAGATTTATTTTCCACACGCTGACATTTGAATGTTCTACCAGTAAGTCTGCGGTAGTCGGTACTTCCGTGTGAATGTATTTCAGCAATTGCTTGACTCCCAGATTGTACGGCGTATATGTTCAAAGTATGACATATTTGGCAATAAATTGCTTTGTTCTCCCAAAAGGAATAGCTTGTTTCCAGGTTTAATATAAGTTTTCAACAGATTACAATCATAATTCACATTACGGGATGAGTCAGAAGACCCTGACGGCTTGTCAAGTAGTTCATTAGGGTTGCCATGACAACACACCATGAGTTGGGTGTTTTAGGCGATTCAAATTTATTGTCTTAGAATTCTGGGGCCAGAAGTTCTGTATTATGGTGTCAGCAGTGTCGGCTTCTTTTGGACGCTACCCCGGAAAAATCAGTCCCATCTATGTCTCCCACGCCTGGTAGGTTATTGGTGCTATCTGGCGTTCCTTGGCTTCTGCTCCATCACCCTCATCTCTGCCATGGTCTTCCCATGGGCTTCTCCCTGCATTTGAGAAGGAACAAGGCCAGCTTGTGCGTGGTGGCTAAGGCAGCTAGATCCCACATGGCTGACCATGTGGTTCAGGTCCCGGGAGGGCAGCTTGAGAAACACCGCGTGCGTGAACGTCCAGACTGCAGAAAGGAGAGAGCGGGACGGGAGTGCAGCCTGAGCGTCCCCACGGCTGTGGGCCTCTGTCGGCTCCGTCACCCCCAGCGAGTGCATGGCAGCCTAGCTAAGGACGGACGAGGACAGCCAGCCCGCACTTCTCGCGTGGTCCCCTCACTCGGGACGCCCGGTGCGGTGCAGACTGAGACTCGGGAGGTCTGGGCAGGGGACCAGGACTCGGGGATCTCTCTCCAAGTGACAGGTCAGAAATTATGTTTTCCAGAAAAGCAACTCAAAGAAGCCACGCTTTTCCTCAGCAGAGGGCCTAGGCAGGTGCAGACCCGGACAGCGCGAGGCCGTTAGGCGCGGGCTAGGCGCGGCCCCGGGACTCGAGGACGCCGACGGGTACCTGCTCTGGGCGCCTGCGCAGGAGCCCGCCCGGGCGCCCCCGCTGCACCGCTCGGAGCCGCCCTCGGAACGCCCGGCGTCTGTTGCCGGGGCAACCCTGCTCCAGCCTGGGCGGCCTCCTCGCTATTGGCTGAGAGGACGCAGCGCGGCTGACGTCACTGCGCGGCGCCGCCCGACGCGGGCCCGGGAG